CTGAAGCTCCAGTGGGTCTCCACCAATGTGAACAGTTTCACTTCCGGCATTTGTCTCAGCCAGGTGAACCATTCCGCCTTCAGCTCTTCCGAGAGCCCACTACAGTTCCAGTGAACGCATTGTATGCGCTCCGGTCCATGCGAGTGCCCTGGGCTCAGCGGCACCGTTTCTAGAGCTCTGGCCGGATGGCTCCAGACGCGAAGCGGTCGTCCTTGATATGTGGCCTTGCCATTATTGATTGCACGCTTGAGGGCCCATTGCAGAGAACGCTTCTTGATCTTGCTTGGGCTACCCCTAAAAGATAAAAGCCTTCCTTCCCCGTCGTTCACTGCATCCGGGACGGCTGCAGCTTCATCCCTGCCTGGGGGAGCAGTGGAAACCCTCACGCCCGACGGCTTCTTGAAACTATCCTCAAGGTTCATCTGTAGCGTCGCTCGGACTTGGGACCGAGACGAGCGTATGTCCAGCTGTGCCTGATGAGCTTGTGCTTCTCGTAGCTGAACTTGGCTTGTGGTGTCAGGGGGCCTGGTCGAAAGAAAATCACTGCTCAGATGATGCATGCTCCTGAAGAAGCTCGGTCAGCGCGGTTGTGGTCTCTCGTGGGTAGTTGCGTACGCAATACAGAAGGAATTTGGCGAAGTGAAGCGGAGGAAGTATCGCAGCCGTCTTCCGGATGAGCTCTGGCAAGGAAAGATCAGTAAGCAGAGCAGTTGCCAGGTCTACTCCCCAGAACACTGTCACTTCAGCTTCAGCTTCCAGAATGAGTTCCACTTCTGTAATCACCCACGATCGCAAGTGTGCCACGCAGCGCATCACCATTAACCCTTATGGCCCCCCGTCATGTTTGAACCACTCGTGGCGCTTGATACACTACTACTACTACTACTACTACTACTACTACTACTACTACTTCTACTATTGCTACTACTACTACTACTAGTACTAGGCGGAGCACGCTGTCGGCTACTACTAGTACTAGTACTAGTACTAGTACTAGTACTAGGACTAGAACAAGTACTAGTGCCAGTGCTCGTGCTAATACTACTACTAGTACTAGTACTAGTACTTACACTAGTACTGGTGCTGGTACTGGTACTACTACTGGTACTACTACTACTACTACTACTACTACTGCTTACTACTACTACTGCCACCACTACCGCTACCACTACCACTACCACTACCCCTACCCGCCCTACCCCTACCCCTACCCCCACCCCTACCCCTACCCCCTACCCCGCCCCTACCCGACCCCTACCCCGACCCCTACCCCTACCCCGACCCCGACCCCGACCCCGACCACTACCACTACCACTACGACTACGACTACGACTGCGACTGCGACTACGACTACGACTACGACTACGACTACGACTACGACTACGACTACTACTACTACTACTACCACTACTACTACCACTACTACTACTACTACTACTACTACAACTACAACTACAACTACAACTACAACTACAACTACTACTACTACTACTACTACTACTACTACTACTACTACTACTACTACTACTACTACTACTACTACTACTTACTACCACTACGACTACTTACTACCACTACGACTACGACGACGACGACTACTACTACTACTACGACTACTCCTACGCCAATGGTACTGCTACCCTACGACGGTGCATGAGGGCAATCTTGCACCACCTACATATTCTGTTTCGAGTAGGCATTCAAGCAATGACCCCGGCACCCCATTTTAACGTTGACGACGGATTTGAATCTGGCAGTACAGGACTTGCCTCATTAGATCGATTTTGCAAAGCCCCGTGCTCACACGCACGGTGAAGCTAGTTGACTCATCTGACAAGAGGTGCAAGATTTTATCCATCCACCGTCCCATTTTTGGGGTGTATCTTTGGCCTCTTGTGGCTGTCGCCCACGTCTGTAGTGGATACTTCCGGGCTGTAACTTTGGGATCTGGGTAAAGCTTTCCATGTTCCAGAGGGTTGACATCGGACGGCGTTGCTACTTCTGTTTCGAATTTAGAATTACATTCAGTAACAGTTAAGCTTGCCGTTGACTGCAACGTTGACTGAACGCGATTGTATGTTAACTGCAAATTTGTGCTAAACGTAGCAGTGAACCCTCTCGACCTGTCATCGCCCGATTCGGTGGATGAAGGAAACCTTGGGTAGGTTTGCAAGCGACGACCCCGCACCCCCCTTTTAACATTGACGACGGATCTGAACAGGGCAGTACAAGATTTACGTCATTAGAGTGATTGTGCAAGGCGCTAGTTGACGTATCCGACAAGCGGTACAAGATCTCCCCATCCACAGTACTACTAGGATTAATTACAGCCCAGACCCAACCAGCAGCCTAAAATACGGTCAAGCATCGTAGCCCTTGGGCACGCTCCAAGGCATTCCTCTCGCGCAAAGGATGCATGTTTCGAAGGAGTCCGAAGCATGCAATCTGCTGGCCGACGATATACCCCGGGCATGCAGATCGTGCCGGAACGAAAAGCTGCTTGCTCACCTTCCTGTTTATACATGACCCTCAAGAGCAAAGGCCTTCTCAACACATTTCGCAACCTCAGTGTGCTCATGCATCCTTCAGAGGAAACCTTCACCTTTTATCTCTGCTCGATGCTGAGTCACTTACTGCGTGCGCTGTCCTTTCTCCTTAGCTGCAAGCTGCAGATCTCTCGCTGTGAGGTCGAGGGCCAGGCAGTATCCTGGATCAGGCAAGCCGAGGCTCGGGGTCGGCCTCAAAAACACCTTTTTGGACCTCAACTGCCCATGCCAAGAGCTCCTGCAACGACGCCCAGTGCCTCCGACTCCTTGACGCGCCTAGGAGAGGAGGGAGCGCCAAGACTGTGAAGCGTGCTGAGGCTCGCCACCTAATTAGTGTTCGGCGTGGGGACAAACTGAACTGGAGAAAGCAGAAAAGTTTCGCCGTCCGCCTAGACCTCTTGAAGATTGAGCAAGGCGACTTGCATTTCTGGCCGATCACGATGCCCAGCTCCACCTTCACCGACTCTAATTACCAAGCATCCTTTAAGGAGATGTTTCATTCAAGGGTAGGTAGGTCCAATGTAGGTGCAGGATTAGCAGGCCGCAAGGCACGACAGTGCTCCCTGATGGGTCGAATAGCTCCTCAAGCCAGGCTTCTGCAGAGCCTGCATTTATGATCTTATATAAATGCAACAACAAGATTAGCCACTACATAGTAGAGATATGCATGTGAATGTGTGTGTGTGTGTGAGACAGCGCATGTATGTATGTATGTATGTATGTATGTATTTTTTTATGTATGAATGTGAATGAATGAACGAATGAATGAATTAAGGAAGGAAGGAATGAGTGTGCGTAAGTGCTTTTGTATGTATGTATGTATGTATGTATGTATGTGTACGCATGCGTAGCTGCATGTTTTTGTATTTACGCCTGTATGTATGTAATTTACGAACACTCGAGTTGCAGCAGCGCGGGCCTGACCAGGAATTGCAACTCATGTTTAGGTGGTCACAGAGGATTTCCAACCAAAAGAGATCTATTCGGGAAGTCGGGAAGCCGTGTCAGGCTCTTCAAAAGACTCTGCTGAATGCGGCACCTCCCTCCAGAGCTTCCAGCGCATAGATACTTGTGGAGCACCCGACATTCTGAAATGTTAAATCGTGCAAAGGAGCTGCCAGGCCTTCCACCCTCACATGCGAAGGTCTGGCCTCGTGGTGGACTGGCCCAATGTTTCTCGGTAGCCGTATGGGTCCGCTGCCTTTGCTGGCTTTTGGAACAACGTCGCGTGCAACTACTAGGTAGTGATGGTCCCATGCTGGGAGCGGGTCCTTTATGGCTTCGGAGCTTATATACCCTGGGACTGCGCGCCACATGTTGAGTGTAGTTTCGAGCCATGCGAGGTCACTCAAGAAGCCAACCCTTCAAAGTTTTTATGGTGAACCAGTTCGTGCGGACGAGCAGCCCACGGGCAGGTAGGAGCTTGTGGGCTTCAGGAAAAGCACCGGGACTTTGGGTGCCTGGGCTGCAGTCGTCTGCAAGGCTTTTGCATTCATCGGCAGCCCGGTGCAGTCCCAATGTCAAAGATTCCAAAGATAACGCTTAAACCAAAGCCCCACAGAAACGTCTCCGAACCCTCCCATCCAGGCACCCACTTGCCTCGGACAAAAACTTTTCATCCTTCTTGCTGCCTGGCCGCTTCGTGCAAATCGGATGATTTGGACATGGCAAAGATTTGAAAGGAAAAGATGATAATTAGAATATGGGGTTTCGGGGTATATTATAGGTCTAGTTACAGACCTTCCAAGCATAGGCCCAACCGGCCTATCTGAGCCATCTCTTCAATGTGCTTCTGGTAGTTCTTCCCCACCGCCACGATCTTCCTGGTCCGGAGTTTGAGGTGCAACTCAACTCCTCTTGAGACTGCAGACTTGTGACTTCATGAGTTCGGAATCCACGATTTTGGGGAGTGAGTCCTTCCCAAGCTGTTCCTGAGCAGTACTTCCCACTGAAGAACTACCAGGGACGGGGACTTTTTCCCAGGCATCATACGTCCAGGCCTGCCAGTAGCCCAGAAGTTGGTGGCCATGGCGACAACCGAAGACTCAATCACGCTTGGATGTCTTTATTGCTTTGGCGGCTATTCCAGGTCCACTGAGCCTACTCGTCCCGGGGCAGCCCTGAGGATTGGGATTACACGGTTGTGATGGTCGAGAAACCTCTTGGGACGCCTGATTCTGAGGCAGTCCGAGGTCCACTTCTACTGAAGCACGGTCTCTGCCTTGGAAGTCCCCTAAGCAACATGAGAGTGATCTTCGAGACTCTCGAGGGGGGAGGTGCATTGAAACAAGCTGCCAACAGCTGCCGTGAGCAGGCCATCTTCGATGACATCATTGCCATGTTGCTGCAGCGCTGCACATGCTTTCTGCGATCTGCTGGGTCTGAAGCTCATCAATACGAATAGTCTTCCAAAGCGAGCTCACCCCCAATGTCAAACACAGCTCCACTGTGAGCCTGGAAGTTCTTCTTCGTCTGTTCTCGAAGCTGCAGCCTTGCGGCTTCCAGCTACCGTGTAACATGCGCACGGCCAAGGCCCGAGGCATTCAACCTTCAGCATCCTTGTTGGTGAGCACGGATGAGCATTTGGACATGGGCACAACCCCAAGACTGCGATTCTGATATGAAGCGGCATACTGTAGCGTGTTGGAGAAAACAGCCATGGCTTGCTCCAAGACTCCGAGCTAATCCTTCCCTGAATTGCTCAGGGGCCGGCAACATCCACTCCCGGTCGTTGTCGTCGATCAGTCGGTCACCAAACACGCGCAGAATCTCCTAGGCTGCTACACTGGCCTTGACAGCCCGCGCCACTGCTCATTGGCGAAAGATTTAATTGGCCCGGTTATGAAGGGACAGCAGGTGAGCCTGGCCGGGATGCAAATTTCACGCCAGGCGTGATGTTCTGGCAAAATTTGGGATCACTGTCAGAACTCCCACCGGAGGCAGACTAGGGCTGACGAGAGGCGTGAGCCCAAAGCCGAACATGGCGATCGGGGCCTATGCAGCAGAGGGTGCGACTCGGCCGAAAGAGCAGCGCCAAGTTGATACACTCTCTCCAGAAAGGTTGCGATGCATGCACGTTGACGAAGCCCGGATTCAAACAGCGGGTTGCTTCTTCAAGACACTGCTGCGACGTGGCATGGGGCATGTGGGCAGGGAGTTTGAGCTGTTCATGTTAGGGACGTTGGAATCAAGAGACATGCATGGAGGTCTCAGCAACTGAGAGGGGACTGTTGTGGCGTGTGAACATAATCATATTCACTCCGAGCACTCGACATCATCACGACTTTTTCAGGATGCATTCAAAGGGAGGGGTCTTATCTAGTGCGAGGATGTTTTAAAGCACAGGCTTTAACACAGGGACTCGGGGGCCTACCTGGTTTCTCTCTCTGTTTTCAAGACTACTGCAGTTCACACGCCACAACAGTCCTGTCTGCAGCATTTTGAACCACAAGGGCATTGGCGGCTGTGCATCACAGCTGTAAAGTCAGCAGCACACTAAACTTCAGATG